CGTGTCACCTTCGGTCGGAGATATCCATCGCCTCCGCTTCCTCGTATTTTTGGATACCTTTACATCTAGTATCGTAGAAAAATTGGGACGGACAATTACTTATGCTACGAGAACTACGAGCTCATGTAATTTGTACCATAGTAGCCACGTCGAGTCCTGGACTGCAAAATATGGTCTCTGTGGCTCCTCCTCATCGAACGTCTGAGTTAGTGACTTCGAGGTCCATGCCAGTGTTGCGAGAGCGCGCAATTTTGCCTTGAGATTATTTATCGCGTGCCAATGGCTCCGTCGCTTCCATGTGGCGCTGGCGCCCACGTTGTGGCGTTGGCAGCCTCTTATTGGCTGCTGCCCACAAAATCCAGAAAACCCGCATATTTATAATATACTTCGTGAGAATACAGGCAAATGTGAGAACAATAGTGCTCAGGCTGCGGGAAGTCGTTGAACTAGATGCAGTAGTTACTTGTCATTGTCGCCAACATTTCGCCCTCAGGCTGGGTGTCGATCTAGACAGGATACTGGGTGTCGAGCGTGGTGTTCAGACCCGAGATCGTTCCGTTCAGGAAAGCCGCATCATGGCCCCTTGCGAGCATACCGTACTCCGGCAGATACCTGGTCACTGCGTCAGCACATGTACGCCGTGAGCGCGCAGCCGGACTTACTGATCGAAGAAGGGCATCATCTCGGGCGTGCCGGGCGTGTTGCGCCAGTCGCGCATGAGCTCGAGCGCGACGGCGAACATGGAGAGCACCTGGATGCCCGCCGCGCGCATGCGGTCGTTCGCGTCCTGCGCCGTCTTGATGTCGAACGTGCCCGACGCGTCGCTGTTCGCGTACACGCTGTAGCCCGCCGCCTTGAGCGAGAGCGCGAGGAACGCCGTGCAGACCTGGAGGGCGTCAGCATGGGGCAGCGGGCACGGTGGGGAGACGACGTACGTCGGTGGTGATACCCGCGAGGATGACCTGCTTCTTGCCCGTCGCCTCGACGGCGGCACGGAAGTCGGCGTTGTCCCACGCGTCGACCTCGCCGTGGCGGTGGATGAAGGGCGCGTCGGGGTGCATCTTCACAATCTCCTCGATCAGCGGTCCGTTGGGGCCTGGCAAGGGCCGCCGTCCTTGTCAGCACATAGCGGTAATGGGTAGATAGGGATACGCACCGGTGTCAGCGCTGGTGGTCATTACGACAGGCAAGTTGAAGACCTTGCCGAGCGCGGCGTGCGCGAGGATGTTTGCCTTCATCTCAACGGCGGGCATGTCCCGCGCCATCTGGTATAAGCCCTCCTGGTGGTCGACCACGAGGAGGACAGTGTTGTTCTTGTCGATGCGCTCGTACGTGAACGCGGACGCTGCCAAGCAGGGTCAGAATGTAATGAAACGGAGCGGTAGCCGTAGAGCGTACCAGCCAGGAAGAGACTGAAGAAGTAGACTGCGTGGCAGACGAAAGATTTGCTGAACTGCATGATGGTGGCGGATATTCGGGGTAGGCTGAAGAGAATTGAATGTGTGAGAGGACTGTCGGTGCGGACTGAGGATCCTCTAGCCCATCCTCCAGGCTTTTATATGCCTTTCGGCTCCCCAGACGCGCTCGCCTGTGCCTTTTACGGTGCTCTCCGGGCAGCTCGCATGCAATGTGCAGGTCGAATGCGGTCGAACAAGCGCGTCAGCATCCTTGGCAAATCGCCAGCGATCAGCCCTCGCGTCCACAATGTTCACCCACCACGCGATTGGTCAACGGGATCACATGTGCGAGAACTCACAGACCTGGGATGGAAGGCTACCACGTCGGTAGCACGGGCGACAGCGCACACTCGCCGGTGGGACGCCGTAGCAGGTCTTCCGCCATCACAATGCTGTCAACGACAATCCGCGTAGGTCCTTGCGCTGTCGGAACGCGCGGTCGGAACGGCATGCCACTGGCTGCTCGTACGTGCCAAGGTCGGAGTACTGCGGCCAGGGCCCATCCGACCTGAATGGAAGGTCGATCGTAATGCGCGCCTCAGAAGCAGAGGCAGCGCTGGTCTTAACCTCTACTAGGGAAATGGGTTCAGTGCGCTCGTCGTCAGCGGGCAGTCGGATCCACTCACCTGTACGCTCATGATGCTCAATTTCTGATGGAGACTGGAGGTATGTTGTAAAAAGCAGCTTACAAGCATCGACGCAGCGTGTGTTCTCGCCTGATGAATTAGGAAGGTGTATCTATAACATCCGCCGGAAACCAAAAACACCGGGGTACACAACATGCCCTGCTGGTATACACTTACAAGAGTCACAATGGATCGTACAGCGATCTACATTCGTGGGCAGGGTGGTAGGAGCAAAGAGAGTGGAAGGGTGGGCACGCTAGTCATTCAGGATAGCTTGAACGACATTGGACACGCGAAGTTGGCGCAAATCGGTGTAAGTCTGAGAGTGAGAGCGTCAGTGCCAAATATAGATATTGAGCACGGTGAACACACTTGTCCGCATCCTACGAAGATGATGGGCTGACCAGTGACATAGGTCATCGAGAGCGCCGCGCCTACCTGGATGACTCATGAGCATTACAATGAGCTTCTCAGTTTGTGTTCTCGCGCACCTTGTCGTCGACGGTGTCCCACTTTGTGACAATCATGCCGTCAATACCTCGCTCTTTTGCGCTCCCATAACCAGAAGCAGAGCTGAAGTCTCGCAGCGCACGGTCAAACTTGGTCAGCTGGTCCACAGCTTCATTTCCGACGAGTGCCTCTCCCACGAAGAGAATCTTGTCTGGACTGTTCGTGCTGACTAGTTTCGCCAGAGCGCGCATGAGGGGCTACACAAAAGTGAGACAGGATAAGTAGGCTCCGCTGAAAGAGAATGTACCTCATTATCTTGCATGCGGCCGGCGGTGTCGATGAGAACCACATCAAAGTCATGTTCTTTTCCTATTCGCCGCTAAATCAAGACGAGGTCATGGGCAACGATGACGACACAGTACATACCATACGTGATGGCTTCCTTCGCGATACCGGCAGCGTCCTTGCCGTAGCCCTTCTCGTACAGCTCCACTCGGCCCTTGCTGTCTGTGGCCCCATTTACGCCAAGCATGCTCAGATTGCGGACATGAACGCGCAGCTGTTCAACTGCTCCACTCCTGCGAATCCATGTCAGACATACGAAATGCAGTAGATGGTGTGTGACGTACCGGAAAGTGTCGCACGCAGCGATGAGGACACGCATGCCGTTCTGCACTAGCCAGAAGCACACTTTGCTCAAGTTCGTGCTCTTTCCGACGCCGTTGACGCCAACGAAGACGATGCTGTAAGGTTCCTTCTTCCCCGAATGGCCTATCATGGATGATTGGCTTTCAGACAGCTTGGTTCGAATGGACAGCAGGAGATCGGTGGAAGTCTTGGGAGTCAGGATTCTGGTGAGGGCAGCGCTGAGCGCATTTCTGACAGCAGTGTTCGTGCCACCCCAGCCAGTGATGCGCCGGCCGACGAGATCTTCTCCCACACTCTCGACGACTTTCTCAGCGATCTCCTTCGCGACGTTCTTCTTCATGAGATGCTGCTTCATACCCTCGAGAACAGGTGCGAGATCGGTTTCTGTCAAGGTCTTCGCTCCTGTGATCCTGGAGAAGAGGGAGCCCAAGGCACCGAGCGAGCTTCCTGGCTTCTCCGCTGCGGCTGCGGCAGCCGCTTTGTTTGCTTGCGGCGCATCGAACTCCCAGTCCTTGACCTCGTACATTCCCTCGTGTGTCCTCGTGCCCATGCTAGCCTGATCAACGAGCGTTGAGAGGTCCATCGCTTTCTTGGTCGATGATGAGTCGACTTCAACGTAGCTGAAGTCCAAGGAAGCCATATCTGACTCTGTAGGTGCCTCGCCGCCCCACTTGCGCTGTACTTTGCTCTTTGCTGACTTCTTCGCTTTCGTGGGTGTGTCAGAGCTGAAGCGAAATCAGTAAATAACGGTCAAAAGATGTCATGGGATAGCACGTACTCAGAACCCGGTATGCTCTCCAGCCCGCTGCCCGCTCCCCCCACACCGCGGCGCCCCTTCTTCCCTCCCACCCCTCCTGGGCCTTTGGGCTTCAGGCGGTTCTTCAGCGCCTGTACGTTGCGGGCGATCTGTTCTTCATCGACGGTAGTTGGGTCCGACTGCGATGGGACTGGACATCTATGAGAAGGCTGCGAAATATAATCAAACGAGGAACACGTACTTGTGCTTTGGTCGTCAGATGGAGGGGTCGACTCCACCGGCGTATGGACGGCCGGGCCGACATGCTTGAGACGAGACTTCCGCTCCTGGCGATAAGGACTCAGCTGCTATGCGACGCTAGTGTGAAGTGGTCGGACCTGTGCTGATTTTGCTTCAAATTTCCTGAGCAAGTCGTCGAAGATTGCGTCCCACTTCTCAAATGCGCGTGCGAAATCCCAAGTGAGGGCGGTCTCGGACCCGGGCCCGGATGCTTTGAGAGACGCGGCCGAGGACGAGGCTGCGTGTAGTGACGCAACAAATGTTGCAAGAAATGGCTGAAAGAGCTTGACAAAGAGTGTCTTGAGGGCTGCTAGGAGGTCGTCTACGTATGTGAGTTGCAGTATGCGTTGGTACGCGACCTGATCTTGTTATGAGCGTCCGCGGGGAAGCGCAGTCGCCAGACACGTACCACAAAGATGAGCTCGAGGTCATTGACAAATGTCCACTTGAGAGCATACCCGTCCTTCTCGAACTGCGATTCCGCTGAACGTCCCTCGATGAGTGCGTCACGGATGAGTGAGTTGACCGGCGATGCGGAGCTGGCTGCCGACTGTGATGCCGCAGGAGTGAACGAACGGGACCAAAGAATGACGCCGCCTGGTACCCGGTCAGAGCTGGTGCAGGGCTACGAAGGTACGACGTACCCTTGTGAGATATTGAGCAGTGGTCGAGCATGATTGCAGGGGATCAAGCGAGTGTGGAGAAACAGCGATCGCGTCCGCAGGAGGCTTCGGACGAGGGACCAAGCAGAAGCAAATTGGGGACGCCTTGGAATTGTACTAGGTCACTTTGCCGGAGTGGTTAACGGGATCGCCTGCTATTCGTAGCTGTCAGCGGTTGTGCTTTGCACGCGAGTGTTCGAATCGCTCAGGTGACGATTTTTTGTCTCTCTTTTCGCTCTTCCAGCTCGCCATAGTCTGGGTCCTACTATGATCACAGTGCACACCCTACAACACGGCCACAAGAGCCAGATGTATGCGATGAAAAGCACTAGACGTTTATTATACACACAATCCTATCCTATGACAACAAAACCCGTTTACTTTTAAGAATGTTCGCAGTCCCAGTCCAGCCAGTCCTCTAGTCGATCTCCTCCATCGCGGATGACGATGCAGCGTCCGCAGATGGGACTTCAGATGTGCTGATAGCCGGTTGCGCCTCAGCCTCCTCTTCGACGTCGAGGCCAAGAGCGATCATACGGTGGATACGCTTCGCGAAGGACGTCGGGTCGTCTAGCGAGAAGCCAGAGGTGAGGAGCGCGGTCTCGAAGAGGAGGAATGTCAGGTCGCGAACGGACTTGTCGGCTTTGTCGTCGGCGACCTTCTTCTTGAGCTCCTTGATGATGTTGTTGTGCGGATTGAGCTCGAGCGTCTTCTTCGAGGCCATGTACGACGACATCGACGAGTCGCGCAGCGCCTGCGCCTTCATGATGCGCTCCATATTCGATGACCACCCAAACTGGCCCGTGACGAGCACACACGGCGAGTCGGTGATGCGGTTTGAGATGACGACCTTCTCTACCTTGTCGCCGAGCGCTTCCTTCACGGCCTTGCAGAGATCCTCGAACTGCTTCGCCTCCTCTTCGCGCGCCTTCTTCTCCTCTTCGGTCTCCTCGAGCTCGAGCCCTTCCTTGGAGATGCAGACAAGCTTGTGGCCCTCGAACTCCTTGAGTTGCGAGATGGCGTACTCGTCGATCGGGTCGACGAGGAGGAGGACCTCGAAGCCCTTGCGCTTGAAGACCTCGAGGAACGGTGAGTGCTTGAGGGCGGACAGCGACTCGCCAGTGAGGTAGTAGATGTTCTTCTGGACCTCAGGCATGCGAGTGATGTAGTCTACGGAAGATAGTCAGCTCATGATGCCGAAAGATGGGTTCATAACAGGTATGCTTACCCTTCAGCGAGGTCATCTCGTCAAGAGACTTGGTCGAGTAGAAGCGCAGGAACTCGGCAAGCTTGCTGCGGTTCTGAGCATCTTCGTGGATACCGAGCTTGATGTTCTTGCTGAATGCCTCGTAGAACTTGTTGAAGTTGTCCTTATCCTCCGCGATCTCGGAGAACAGGTCGAGGCACTTCTTGACGATGTTCTTCCGGATGACCTTGAGGATCTTGTTCTGCTGGAGGGTCTCCCGGGAGATGTTGAGCGGCAGGTCCTCGGAGTCGACGATACCCTTGACAAAGTTGAGGTACTCCGGGATGAGATCCTCGCAGTCGTCCATGATGAAGACACGGCGGACGTAGAGCTTGATGTTGTTGCGCTTCTTCTTGTTCTCGAAGAGGTCGAAGGGCGCACTAGAAAGCATCTCGTCAGCACTGGAAGCAAATGTCATAAATGACGAAGACGACTCACCGCTTAGGGACGAAGAGGATAGCCTTAAACTCGAGCTGACCCTCGACGTAGAAGTGCTTCACGGCAAGGTGGTCCTCCCAGTCGTTCGTCAGGCTCTTGTAGAAAGACGCATACTCCTCGGGAGTGATCTCAGAGGGGTTGCGAGTCCAGATGGGCTTCGTCCTGTTGAGTTCCTCCTGCTCGACCGTCTTCTCCTTGACCTTCTTGGTCTTCTTCTTGTCCTCTTCATCGTCATCGACTTCCTCGATTTGGGGCTTGTCCTTGTCTTCTTCCTTCACCTCTTCTTCATCTTCGACCTCCTACAAGGCTTCGTCAGCGATCCGAATGCCGACAGGAAGGAGTAGTCACATACCTTCTCGACCTCCTTAGTCACGGTCAGTTGGATCGGGTACGAGATGAACTCGGAGTGCTTCTTGACGATGTCCTTGATACGCCGCTCCTCGAGGTACTCGAGCTGGTCTTCCTTCAGGAAGAGGCGAATCTCGGTACCGCGGCCAAGAGGGGGGTTGACGGTGTCAGGCGTGATGGTGAAGGTGCCGCCAGCGGACGACTCCCAGATATACTGCTCGTCGTCGTTGTGCTTCGAGATCACCTGTACCCGTTCGGCGACGAGGTACGCAGAGTAGAAGCCAACACCAAACTGCCCGATCATCGAGATATCGGCGCCCGAGCTCAGAGCTTCCATGAAGCCCTGCACGAAAGGCGTCAGCGGATGCGAGATCTTCAGCGCTGGGATAGTTCGCTTACCTTCGTACCGGACTTCGCGATCGTACCCAAGTTGTTGACCATGTCGGCCTTGGTCATACCAATACCGGTGTCCCGAATGGAGAGGATCTTGTTCTCCTTGTCCGGGGTGATGCGAATGAAGAGCTCCTTCCCGGAGTCGAGGACTGAGGGGTCGGTGAGCGATTGATAGCGGATCTTGTCCAGAGCATCCGAAGCGTTCGAGATTAGCTCGCGTAGGAAGATCTCTTTGTTGGAATAGAAGGTGTCTGCACGTATGACTCAGTATCTTTGGCACACAACACAGACAGATTGCGCGTGTACTCACTGATGATAAGGTCCAGAAGCTGTGAGATCTCAGCCTGGAAGCCAAAGCTCTCAGTAGCCATTTGGGTCTGCAACGGGTTGGTCAATACGCAGGATTATCTCGGAGGGGGACGTCACGGGCGTACTTACGGGGAGAGTATAAGGGTGTTGGTCGTGAGTGGTCGTGAATGAGCGTAAGCTTGAGCGTATTTCGTTGAGGGACATCTCCCTCGCCTAGGTGCTTTTATGTGTCGCGGCATTGGGGAGTTTTCGGTGAGGTTCTACTGTCATATACGGTTCCGTTACGCGCACTGCGCCGAACCTTCTCGAGCTGTTTCCATTTTCGGAAACGCACACCCGGGCGCTTTCTGGCGAGGCGTAGTACTCGCTCGAAACACGTCGTCCTCGACGATTGCTATGATTACACCAGAAAATGCGATTATGTACAGCGTGAAACAAAAATCAACTCAGATACTTAGCGTAGGTCCCATGAATGGCGAGGCTCGGGGGTCAGACACCAGCCCTGTTCGCCCACTGACTTGCGCCTTGAGCATCTCGATCATTGCCTTCAGCTCCTCGTTCTCGTCATACAGCACTGAGTTCTCCTCGCGAAGCCGCTTGTTCATCGCAGCCTGCTGGTTCCACTCCCTGTGCGCTGCCGGTGACGGACTTTTGCTGGTGGCTTTCCGAGACGCTGCCAGTTGCTTCGAAGCGACGACCAACCGAGATTCCAGGGATGCCATCTCTTGTTGCTGACGCCTGTAAAAGAGTAAACATTCCGCCACATGGGGAACGATGTACCGAGACCGACCTGATCTTCTCTTCCAGCTCCTCCTGGACTTGTTGATAGTTCGCCACACGCAACTCCATCTTCTTGTGCGTACTCGCACATTCTCCAAGGAACTCCGTCTGGCTATTCAATCTATGAACGTCCGATTCCCTGCAATCCCGTTTATCATCGTCTGGAGCAGTGTAGGGCTAATGGACTAACCATAGTCTTTGTAGCTTGATAAGCTGCTCGATCTGACGCTCATAATCGTGAAGTCTGTCGACCTTGTGCTGGTTCGCCTTGATCTCTGTTTTCAGTTCAAATACCTTGGAGTTGGCTTCCGACAACAGCTTGCTTTGCGCTGCGAAGCTATCCTGTTTGGGAATACGTCTGTGAGCAGACTTGTGAATCGCGTCATCCAATGACTGACCCGGGTCTCCTTATGTTCAGCACGCATTGCAGAGGCTTCAGTCTGCCACGAGCTCTTCTCGTTCCTGAACTCCTTGATCTTGTCTTGCAATTTGCGATTCCAGTCGGCATACTGGTTCTTTACCTTGAGCGCCTGTTCCTTTTGCTCTCTGACTTCCTTTTGCAGACGGTACACTTCAGCCTTGTACTCTCGAAGTCGGTTATGCTAGACTCGCACATAAGCATGCCGTACGAGGATTGATGCGAGCCCAGAGTCTCACCAAGCCTTGTCGCTCGACCTCAGCTGTCCTGGAGACCACGCGATCCTGGTACAGCCGCCCGATATGCTTGACGTTCTCCCGAGCCATCCACAGCTCAAAGTTGAGCTCGCTCCTGAGCATTAGAATCTCCCTCTGTAGCCCGGCAATCGCGACGGCTACGTGGGACGGCACGCCTTGCTCTTCGTGTGCGCGCAGCGCATCTGGACTGTGCGACCTGATGCTGACACTGGCCGTGCTCCTTCGCGAAGGTGAGCGGGAACGCGCACGAGACTGGTGTTCGACAAGTGTGGCAGCCCAGCCGACTTCGTTGGGCGCGTCGATGACCTCGATATCGAGACCAGACTTTAGGGCTATGGATGTCGAGATCATCTCCTGCAGCGAAATCTGCAGCTTAGATGATGTCGGATGGGCGCTGGACAGGGTGTGAAGGACGGATGAGGTACCAGACTCCGCCGAAGACGACAGGATCTGAACGATGGGCGTCGGGCTGTCGATGATGGCCTGAGGTGGCGGTGGCGGTGGCGGCAGGGGCCCTTCTGGGCGTTCTGACTGCGTGCGCGGCTCTCGTCTGCCGGACGACAGCTGAGATGTATGGGCGAAGAGTTGCTCGCGTAACCCCATGGACGCGGCGCGGACATCAAGCATGCTGCATTCGGCGACGATCTTTGGGACATCATATTGCGCCCAGAAATCGGGCTGCGCGAGCTCGTGAGCAGCGTCACGCCAGATGAGCAATGGATGAAGAATGTGTCCGCGTAGCAGAGACTAGAGCGGACTTCAGTCAGAGATGTTTAGTGAATAGGCGAGATACATGCCTCGCTCTTGCTTCGAATCTTATCTTCGTCTAGGGCCTCTTCCCAGCTGATTGTGTACACTGTCTCCACATCACTCTCGGCCAGCCACGATACCGGGCCTCGAAGGAAGCGAACCGTGTTACAGGGGAACAGATAATACAGGTAAGCAAAGTACTGCTGTCTTGGAGGGGCGGTAGCCGATGCGCCTATGAAGGTTTGTTCGAGACGCTCCCATTCGAGGTCGGCCCGT